TCAAACAGACATGATTATAATCCTGACTGGCTCAGTAAACCCATTTATTAATTTATGTTGACAAATTTAAAGACATCTTTATTTTATTTAACCAACAAATGTTAATAATTATCAAAGACTTATATAAGTCCTATGAACTAAAAGGAAAATGGCTTAATATAGTTTTAATTTATGTAATACTTAATATCTCCCAGTCAATTAAAATAGTTCTTAGGGGACTTTTTTTACTACATAGATGCAACACACAACATGGATACAACACATATATACATATATAACATATATCACGGGAAAAATTCTAACAGTTTTTTTTTTTTTTTGGAAAGGCAGAGTGGACAGTGAGAGAGAGAGACAGAGAGAAAGGTCTTCCTTTGCCGTTGGTTCACCTTTCAATGGCCGCCACGGCCAGCGCGCTGTGGCCGGCGCACCGCGCTGATCCGATGGCAAGAGCCAGGTACTTATCCTGGTCTCCCATGGGCTGCAGGGCCCAAGTACTTGTACTTGGGCCATCCTCCACTGCACTCCCTGGCCACAGCAGAGAGCTGGCCTGGAAGAGGAGCAACCAGGACAGAATCCGGCGCCCCAACCGGGACTAGAACCCGGTGTGCCGGCACCGCTAGGCGGAGGATTAGCCTAGTGAGCTGCGGTGCCAGCCTCTAGCAGTTCTACAACAGCATTTAAAAAGATTTATTCTTCTTTTACTAACATTAATCAATTAGAATTATTTCTTGCTATTAGTTACTTTAATTAGCCATAAGTTTTAGTGAAAAACAATAAAGCAATTTTAAACTGTCATATATAAACATTCAGCTGGAACATGCAGGGCAAAAAATAGTGACTTGAACATTTACCTTCCAAAACAACTCTAATCCCAACAAAGATGTTGAGCATTTTCTCATGCAATGACAGCTACACCTGAATCTCAGAACTTTTAATTGGCATTCTGATAGACGCTTTCTATGGCACTATTCCTATGATTCTTGTTCCCAACTGTCAATTGCACCAGGGGCTTCTGTAGGAAATTATAACTTCATTTAAGAGATCAAGACGATCTCATTCTTTGGCATCTTATGCATACATAGGCTATGCAGCATTGCCAATTTTGTTCTTAGTCATAGGACCATAACTATAGGTATCCTAATTGAGATAGGACTTAGAGGGCTTGTGGATGAAATTTGAGTTCCCCATATTTTACCAAAGATTAATTCTCACTCAGTGTAATTCTTCTTTTATATTTTTTGTTTTTATTGACACACAATAATTGTACATATTTATGGGATACAATGTAATATTTTGATACATGCATACATTGTAGTGATCAAATTAGGGTAATTAACATCCATCACCTCATATACTCAAGATTTCTTTGTAGTGTAAACACTCAAAAGTCTTTCTTATAGCTACTTAGAAATATACAATACGTTATTGTTAAGTATTGTTACCCTACTGTGCAACAGAACACCAGAAGGATTATTTTTACAATAAGGAAAAAATACTTCAATAAAGATAAACCTTTCTGAAGTTTATTCTTTTTTTATTTTTAAGCACTTTTCTTGAGAAACTTACAAAGGGCAGAGAAACAAGATTCCCAGTTGCACCCAGTTCAACTTACCCAGTCTTGGAATCCTATGACTCCCAAAAGTACGGTTTCCTTGTACCAACAATGTGTTTATAGGCAGCTGACATCCCAGGAAGGGCAGAAGGGAAGACATCCAAGAAAATGGAGTCAGTTTATGAGGACTAGATTGCTTGGTGAGCACACTTCCACTCCTGGCTGACTGGCTGGGCATTTACTACCAGCCCAAATTAGGCCCATGCTACTCACTTGTAAAGGCCACCACAAAACACACCAAACGTGGAAGTTAAAGGAAAGGTTTAGTTCTGGGTGGGTGGGGGGAAACCCAGCAGGCTGGAGGGAGAGGGCGAGAGAGGGTGAAAAGGGAGTGCGGTAGAGAGAGAGAGAGAGAGAGAGAGAGACAAAGCCAGCACGTGTGCAGGGAAGCAGGTCCTGTGATAGTCTTGCAGCGGGTAGGGAAGTGGGAACAGCGAATCTCATTAGAGTGGGGTTGGGGTTGCCACTGATGGTTGGGCCATTTGGTCCCCTGACTCCTAAGCCAGGCTGGGTCCTGAGGAGGCCACCATGGCGTCTGGGGCTTGAGATGGTGCTTTTAGATAAGATGGCATCACTTTGTTAACACCACTGAACAGCCCATTCACCAGAGATGAGAGTAGACGCAAGGTAACAGCTTTATGTAAGAAGCCAACATTCTTGGATAAAAAGCATAACTTTTTGATCTCAAATATGCTCTTTCCTAAGAATGCTGGCTTCCTAAAGAAACCTGTTTCTTTTCATCACCTCTCTTGTGAGCTGGATGTACTCTGATATGCTAGTAGACATCTCAACTAGTGACTTCACTGCTAGGTCACTCTTCACTGTCTGCCCCTCTTGTTAGTAAATTTTTTTTTAACTTTTATTTAATGAATATAAATTTCCAAAGTACGACTTATGGATTACAATGGCTTCCCCCCCATACCGTCTCTCCACCCACAACCCTCCCCTTTCCCACTCCCTCTCCCCTTCCATTCACATCAAGATTCATTTTCGATTATCTTAATATACAGAAGATCAGCTTAGTATACATTAAGTAAGGATTTCAACAGTTTGCTCCCACACAGAAACATAAAGTGAAAAATAATAGATGATTTTTTTTAAATGATGATGAAATCAGATCAGACCTATTGCCATGTTTAATCCCAGTGAGAGTCAAGTTGGGAATTGATAATTTCTTTTTTTTTTTTTTTTTTTTTTACAGAAGATCAGTTTAGTATGCATTAAGTAAAGATTTCAACAGTTTGCACCCCCATAGAACACAAAGTGAAATATATTGTTTGAGTACTCGTTATAGCATTAAATCTCAATGCACAGCACATTAAGGACAGAGATCCTACATGAGGAGTAAGTGCACAGTGACTCCTGTTGTTGACTTTACCAATTAACACTCCTGTCTATGGCATCAGTAATCTCCCTATGCTCCAGTCATGAGTTTCCAAGGCTATGGAAGCCCTCTGAGTTCTCCGACTCTTATCTTGTTTAGACAAGGTCATAGTCAAAGTGGAGGTTCTCTGCTCCCTTCAGAGAAAGGTACCTCCTTCTTTGAAGACCTGTTCTTTCCACTGGGATCTCACTCACAGAGATCTTTTGCCAGAGTGTCTTGACTTTCCATGCCTGAAATACTCTCATGGGCTTTTCAGCCAGATCGGAATGCCTTTAGGGCTGATTCTGAGGCCAGAGTGCTATTTAGGACATCTGCCATTCTATGAGTCTGCTGAGTTGGATCACTCTCCCCTTTATTTATTCTATCGGTTAGTGTTAGCAGGTACTAGACTTGTTTATGTGCTCCCTTTGACTCTTAGTCCTTTCATTATGATCAATTGTGAACTGCAATTGAACACTTGGAATAGTGAGATGGCATTGGTACATGCCACCTTGATGGGATTGAATTGGAATCCCCTGGTATGTTTTTAACTCTACCATTTGGGGCAAGTCAGCTTGAGCATGTCCCAAATTATACATCTCTTCCCTCTCTTATTCCCACTCTTATGTTTAACAGGGATCACATTTTAGTTAATTTTCAACACTTAAGAATAACTGTGTATTAATTACAGAATTAAACCAGTCATATTAAGTAGAACAGACAAAAAAACTACTAAGAGGGATAATGTATTAAGTAATGTATTAGTAAATTTTAAATAGCTTTGAATTTTCTTTTTTTCAATTATTAGATGGATTTCATTCCCTTACTTGAGGAAGGCAGATCATTTAATTCAAACTGTAAGAACAACAACAATAAGGCTTTTCAGAGGCTGTGGGATTTCACTGAATCAGGCGGGAACAACAGCAAATGGTTTGGGAAGTACAGGTAGGCAACTAAGACACCTCAACTTGAGCTGACCTCTGCGCCACTTACTGAAGTAAATTTTGATGGAATGATTGCTGGCCCCTGGAATTCCATATATTATATCAGGAGAAAATTCACAACAGAGACTTGTTCATAGTAAGCAGTAAAAATATTTTATATATTGATATCACAATGAAATCACTTAAAACCCTTACATAAATGTGTAAGAGTACATGACACGGGAGTCCTACCATTATCATGTTCAATAAATCATCAGTTTGAGTCCAAAAACTCTATTTAAACTCAAAGATAAAAACTGTACAAATAAGACCCCAAATACATGAGCCCCCAGATCCCCTATGCACCGTGAATGAAAACAGCGATTTCTACTCCCTAGCCCCTCCCATCTGACAAAGGTCTCCCCCAAGATCAACTCCTCTTGGGTCGGGCTTTCGGGCTGTGTTTCTGTGTCCTGTGCCCTCTGGAATTGTACCAAGTATTAGATTGGCAATGGATCTGCGGAATAAACTCACTTTCAAACCTTCGAATCACAATGGGCAGCAGAGGGTTCACCCAGCCTGGTGCTGAAATCAGTGCCTTCGACACCGCTCAGCCGGGAAAGTGGGGACTTTGGGGACAAGTCTCTGTTCTCCTTCCCAACTGTTTAAAGAGAGGGAGAGCTGACCCCAAATCTGCACCCTGGTGTGGACCTAAAGGTGGAACACAGAAACAGCCCCACCCGCCTCTCAGAGTCCGGCGCTCAGGACTCAATGAATAGACTCCGAACGCGGGAAACAAAGGAGCACCTGGCACCGGCCTTGGGGAGCGTTCTTCTCACTCCAGCGCCTGCCGAGCGGAAGGCTGAGGCGGGCTCCAGGGAGTGGCTTCCATCCTGGGACCGAGAGCGCGGTCCCCGCGGTCGGCGGCGACACCCGACTGGAGGCAAAGTCTCCCGGTGCCCGTGAGAGGCGTGGCGACGAAGGGCAGGTCCCCTCGGGCCGCAGCCAATCCCGGCGGAGAGAGAAACTCGGGCATTGTGACGCGTGTAGGGGGAAGGGCGGCGCAGTAGGCCTCGAGGAGTGAGGGCGCGCACAGAGTGGGAGGCGCGGCGCTTGGCGCGCACGCGCCTGAGCGCGCGCCCGGTGGGGCGGGCTGGGACTCGCCGCTCGCACGCCCTTGGGCCGAGGCCGGGCGCTCTTTCTCCCTTCCGCTTCCGACGCGCTGTCGGCCGAGTCAGTGTATGTGCGGTAACACCATGTCTGCTCCGCTGCCCGCCATCGTGCCCGCCGCCCGGAAGGCCACCGCCGCGGTGAGTGGCGGCGGCTCGGGGTACGAGAGGCCCAGTCGGCCCGCCGCCCGCAACTGCCCCTGGCGCGGTGGGCGTCGCAGGCCGGGGTGGGGTGCGGGTGGTCGGTGCGGCAGGGCCTGCGCCTTGCGGGGCCCTCGACGTTGCGGAGGGGGTGCGACCCCGGAACCCCGGCGCCCCTCGGAGGGGGTGCGCGTCCGTGCCTCTACCGCCTGGTTCTGCCGTGTTTGGGGCTGAGAGAAGCGTAAATCCGCGAGGAAATCGCTTCATTGTCTCGCCTTCCACCCTTGTCCTAAATGAAAGAAGTTTGGCGATTTGGGGTCTTCAACGCGTGTGAGGTGCTGGTTTTTAGGAAAGTTGTGTAAGGATCTCAAACTAATTTTCTGCCCCGGAAGCTCCTATTTCTGATGGAAAAAATTTCAGTGTATATGTGAGGCTTTGATGGTCTGGGTGAGACAGACCACTTCTCTTAGGACTTGGTAATCTGCTGTTGAGAATGCTGACCGGCGACCTGTGAGTGCTGAAACCTCACTTGCACTCTCCCAGGCACTGAAGGGGGAGAAGTTGATTCATACTTTGCCATTTAAAAAAAGGCTGCAGAGGTGAACTGATTGACCCCAAAAAGCGTTCTTGGGTTTGAAGCACTTGCGTTCCCATTTTCCAAATGTGTGTAACCTCCTGTGTGTGTGTGTTTAGGCTTTGTTCATTAATTCCCCCTCTTTTCTTCTAGGTAATTTTCCTTCATGGATTGGGAGATACTGGGTAGGTACCATTCCTAGTAACGGTTAGGAAATGGGGTCATGCTATTCTACCTGCATGGTCAAAGGTTCACTGATTAAGAACACTATTCAAAGTTGTATAAAAAAGGACTGCTGGTAATCTTTCTTACAGTCCAGTGATGAGATTCAGTCCTTTCTGTCTTAAAAGCTCCCAAGATTTCCTCCTGTCATGTTGAATTTATCATTTTTTAACTGTTGCTTCTGTAACATAATTAAAGTTGCAAAGGCTTCCTAAGTTGCTTTGGGTGTTGGATACCAGAGATGAGTAGAAACTATGGAGACAGTGTGCAACCCAGAGCTTTCCAGGGGACTTAAAATTTCACAGCAGGTTGAAAATAACTGGTTGGTTTTTAAAAAAGGCATTTGAGGAGGCTGTTCCACTGGGTTATAGCTATTGGCCAGAGTATGTGTGCATTGAGGATAAGACTGTTTTAGGTGATTGAAACATAAAATTAAGAGTAGCAGCATATCTCGGGGAAAAAGCACAGAATGGAAATGAGTAGTAATAACTGGAAATAATACTTTGGGGCACAGATAAGCATAGACTCAGGAATAGTCAAGATTTAACCTGAAATACTATTGCTTTGCCTGTATAATTGGATTGAATGATTGAAAGGCAACACTGTAGCAGCCTCTCTTATTCCAAAGAGTGAGTAACACTAAAAGCCTTTGAACTGCTGAGAATCTGCATCCTAAAGTGCCTGTACTTTATCACAGTGGGCTTCAGCTTTTGTATCTCTAGCTAAATGTATATATGAGAGATATGGACAGGAGAAAATAGCCAAAGATTTATGTGTTAAGGACAGTTAGAAAATAACATTAAATTTTGTTCTGTTTCTCTGGTTACCATAGATTTAAAGCTTTCCTTTCCAATAAACTTTGTAAAGTGTCAGGGAATAAAGTTGTTCATCTTAGCCAGCCATGTTAAGTCAAGCCTCTATTATATGTAGTAATGTTCTGAGGAACATTGTTGAACCTGTGTTCCATTCTGGACTCTAATAGATAGATGGAAGTTGATTTTATAAATGTGGACTTTAGTGACTACGCATTCCCAAAGCTATAATTAGCTAAAATAATACCCTGATGTCTGTGGCTTATTTTGATATCCCTGAGGTCATTAGCACAATTATTGAAATAGAAAACATTCTAATGATATACTTAGATAGTGGAAAAGATGGAAACTCAAGTAACATACATAAAATATTGACAGTGACCATGTTTAATACCTTGGCTATACTGTTATCTATGGATTTGATAGTTTAAATGCTGTGATTTGATAGTTTAAATGCTGCTTGGATCACTTTGTCGCACAGTTGCTAACACTTTGGCAGAGTGTCATGATTGCTTGACCATGTCTGGTCAGGGCCCACGGTCTGGGAGTGGCAGCTAAATATGTCAGGTGTTCATTACTGCTACATAACGTTGCTTATTGTACACATTAAAATGTAAGATACTGTTTGCAAAGCTAATTGTGCATATTGTGAAATACTGTTCCTAATTCTACCCAAAACTTAATGGTCATTAACACACCAAAAGATACATTGAGTAATATATCTCAGTAAGGTGAATAGCCTGTAACATATAACACATAAAAAAGATCAGAAAATACAAAAATGGATTTAACGTAGGGCTGTAATATGTACTTGTGTCAATTATTACAGCACACACATTTCTCTTGGTACATGACCGTGATTCTGCATAATCTAAAATCTTATCTTAAAATAATTTCCCAAATCTCAGGCTAATCTCAGGACAGCTGCTCATTTTCCTCAGTTCATTTCTTTGTATTGCTTACCCCAAGTCAGTAGAGTCTGGATCAGCAGTGAGCAGCAGGAAACCCAAAACAGGCCACACTAAGCCAATTCCAGTGACTATGGCTGAATACTTAGGTAGTGGTTAAGTCTATCAGGTACAGGAGACTGTGTCAGCTGGTTTGCAATTGATACACAGTTCTTAACTCAGATTGGCTCAATCTAAACCTTTTTGGCTTGGATGTGCTGTTTTTTAAAATATTTTGAAGTTTGTATTAGGGCATAAAGTAATCAAGTTTTCAAGCTGGATAAATTTTTATATGAATACACTCGTAACCATCAACCTGATGAAGATATAGAATATTTCCAGTTCCCGGAAGTTTCCTTTGTTCTATTTCTAGCTGTTATCCTCTGGTCCCCAGAGGTTACCATTTTATGTCTTCTATTACTATAGAGGAATTTTGTCTGTCCTTGACCTTCATGTAATATGGAACCACATAGTAGATCTCTTCTGCCTCCAGTTCCTGCTGCTCATTATATTTATGAATTTTATACACTGGAACAATTTTAATTTTTAATTTTAATTGAAATCAATGTGCTTTGTGGATACAATTCTAAGAACATAATGTCTCTGTCCCTCCTCTCCCTTTTTTTTTTTTTTTTTTAGTTTTTGAGATAACATTTTAAATTTATATTACAGCAAAAAGGCTTAATACTTCACTGAATGAGAAGTTTAACAAGTAAAAAAAAAAAGACCCTTGATTAGTAGGATTATAGACAATGGCTATAAATAATAATTGAATGGAAAACTGACCATTTCACCCACATACAGTGTATTTTAAAATAACCACAGATCATTAAAACTATAGTAGTATAACATTCTTAACTATTAAGTTTTACAAAACTATATTTGCAATAATACTGATATACACAGACATTTCTTTTTTCTTCTTTTTTTTTAAATTTTAGCTCCCACATATAAGGGAGAATATGTGGTATTTGTCTTTCTGGGCCCAACTTGTTTCACTGAACATGAGTTGTGTCCATTTTGCTTCAAATAGTAGAAATTCATTCTTCTTTATAGCTGATTAATATTCCATTGTGTATATATACACCACGTTTTCTTTGTCCATTCATCTGATGATGGACACCTTGATTGATTCCAAATTTTGGCTATTGTAAACAGTACTGCTGTTTGATACATGTATCTCTTTGATATATTGTTGAACACAGTTTTCTGTTAAACATACTGTTGTATAATGCTGTGTAATTTTTAAAGGAAATGTATGCTTTTTTGTGAAAATTCTCATATCAGTATCATGGAACTTCCCCAGTTGCTAGTTTTTTACTGCATTTGTTCCATTTTGCGTGCCCTCAGTCCTATATATGCTTTGGGTTTGGGTCCTCTGTCACTGTCTTTTTTCCCTCTTTCTGTGTTTATGTGTATATATCCTAGGGCACTTCAAAACATTTGTAGAAAAATGGAATTAAAAGGTAAGTTTGTTTTGGCACCAAGAAAAATTGAAATCCATGCATATGAGAGTTCTGCAAAATATCTGTGGAAAATGAATGTTATGAAAAATCTATGTAAGACTTTGAAAAGTTTTTGTACCAAAATAAACTTATTTTTTAAAGATTTACTTAATTTATTTGAAAGTCAGAGTTACACAGAGAGAGAAGGAGAGGCAGAGAGAGAGACAGATCTTCCATCCGCTGGTTCACTCCCCAATTGGCCACACCAGTTGGAGCTGCACCCATTCAAAGTCAGAAACCAGGAGCCTCTTCTGGGTCTCCCACACGGATGCAGGGGCCCAAGGACTTGGACCATCCTCTACTGCTTTCCCAGGCCGTAGCAGAGAGCTGAATCGGAAGTGGAGCAGCTGGGACTCAAACCTACGCCCACATGGGCTGCCAGTGCTGCAGGTGGCAGCCCCACCTGTTAACCCACAGCACCGGCCCCAATAAACTTTTTATAAAAAGATTTTTTTTATTACTGTGAATTGTTCTCCATTGTGTAGATATGCCACATGTTGTTACTCGTTTGAGGGGCCTTTGGGTCATTTCCACTTTTGACCTAATGGTACTGAGAACATTTGTGCATGAGTTTTTGCTCGATTATAGGTCTAGGAGTAGTTTGCAGGTCATATCCTAACTTCATGTTTACCTTTTGAGGACCTGCCAGCTGTTTACAAAGTGGCAACACCGTTTACATTTTTACCAGCACTGTGTGAGGGTTCCGAATTCTCTCATCCCCTTTAACATTATATTTTATTTTAATGTCTTCTTTTATTATCTCTTTGATTCTAGCCATCTGGGGTATGTAAAGTGTTCTTTCACATTGTTTGGATTGGTCATTTCCTAATGACTGGTGGTTTTGAACCTTTTTTTCTTTCTTAGTTGATATTCACGGGAAAAAATTAGAAGGCCATGCATCAAAAAATTAACTATTTCTGACTAAAAGAATTATGGTAATTTACATTTCTTTCAGCTTTTCTCTATTTTGAAATATGTATGTGTATACCTATACACATGAGGAAAGGTATGTGAATACCTATACACACAAGTAAAGAATATTAAAATTGTTTTGGTAACATAAGCCTGTAGAGATATTTAAAAACTGGTTACTTTCTTTAAGTTTTTTTCTTTTGTATAAAATGTAATGATAGGGGGCCAGCGCCGCAGCTCACTAGGCTAATCCTCCACCTTGCGGCGCCAGCACACCGGGTTCTGGTCCCGGTCGGGGCGCCGGATTCTGTCCCGGTTGCCCCTCTTCCAGGCCAGCTCTCTGCTATGGCCCGGGAGTGCAGTGGAGGATGGCTCAAGTGCTTGGGCCCTGCACCCCATGGGAGACCAGGAGAAGCACCTGGCTCCTGCCATTGGATCAGCGCGGTGCGCAGGCTGCGGCGGCTATTGGAGGGTGAACCAACGGCAAAGGAAGACTTTTCTCTCTGTCTGTCTCTCTCACTGTACACTCTGCATGTCAAAAAAAAAAAAAAAAAAGGTAATGATAGGGGTTGGGGCTGTGGCGCAGCAGGTTAAATCCCTGGCCTGCAGCACTGGCATCCCATATGGGTGCGGTTTGAGTCCCAGCTGCTCCACTTCCAATCCAACTCTGCTATAGCCTGGGAAAGCAGTAGAAGATGGTCCAAGTCCTTGGGCCCCTGCACCTGCATGGCAGACCCGGAGGAAGCTCTGGCTCCTGGTTTTAGATAAGCTCAGCTCTGGCCGTTGCAGCCATTTGAGGAGTGAACCAGCGGATTTAAGACCTTTCTCTCTATGGCTGTATGTCTCTCTATAGCTCTGTCTTTCAAATAAATACAGTAAATCCTTAAAAAAATGTCATGATATCGGGGCTAGCGCTGTGGTAGTAGGTTAAGCCTCTCTGCCTGTGGTGCCAGCATCACATAAGGGTGCCAGTTCGTGTCCTGGCTGTTCCTCTTCCAATTCAGCTCTCTGCTGATGTCCTGGGAAAACATAGGAAGATGGCTCAAGTCCTTGGGCCCCTGTACCCACGTGGCTGAACTGGAAGAAGCTCCTGGCTTCAAATCAGCCCAGCGCCTGCCATTACGGCTATTTGGGAAGTGAAGACCTCTCTGTCTCCCTCTCTATGTAGCTCTGCTTCTCAAATAAATAAAGCTTTAAAGCTTTAAGAAAATGTAATGATAGTATCTGTCATTCCTATTTTATAAACACATATTTCTGAGATTGTAAAAAATTTTTTAAAAAATCTATATTTTGGAAATTATAAACTCTGTGGAAATATATGAAGGCACACACGTTGCTGTTCAGAGTTCATGTTTAACTAAAGCTTAAGTAACAGCCTTTGAATTGTTTTTGGGTTTGTGGTGTTTTAACAGCATTAGTGGTCTACACTTTTTAGATGTTTTAAAGACATTTGTCCTCACCAGTTTTTAAAGTTTTACTCTGTTACTAATTTATTAGGAGTTGAAACAGTATCTAATAGAGTCATCAAAATAATTTTTCCCCAGGCATGGATGGGCGGAAGCTTTTGCAGGTATCAGAAGTTCACATATCAAATATATCTGCCCACATGCGTGAGTATTTCTAATTTCTTTTTTTTTAAGTTCAAAATCTGGAGACCAACAATTGTGATAGCTTTACTTTTTCAGAAAAGCATTTGAATGTAATTTATTTTTGTCTTATTCAGTTTAAAAATAAAGATTAGTAAAATTCTTGAAAATGTTGATTAAATTTAATTTTTATTCCTTTTTTGGTGCTGTTGTTGAGAAACTTAAAAGATTGCTCTTGGAGGTCAGTTGAACTTCAAGCCAGAAAAATTATTGTAGATATACAAATATCTGCAATGTTCTAAAGATGTCTGTGGGAGTATATCTGAAGGAGATTTACATGTAAGATTTTTGAGAAAGCTTTATCATGTTGAAAACACTCAAATTTTGTTGATTAGAGGCAATGTGATGCACTGTGAAAAGATACAGGCTTTGGAATCTTGACGGATTTGGTTTTGAATTCTGGCTCTGAAAATGTGGATCAAAAAAGCTAGTAAATTTTGAGCAACCTCAGAAAACCATTAAGACTGGTGAATTTAGGTAAAAAAGTTGCTCAGAAGCAAAAGCCAGGAAGAAGACTAAAGGGTTCAGGTGCATGCTAGTAAGTTAAGAAGGTAGTAGCAATAGTATTGAGATAGATACATGGAAATGAAAAGGGAATGGGAAGAACTGTATCTGAGAAGATTTGGTAATAAAACCTTCTTCCTTTTTATCCTGAAATAAAGGACCTGTCTTCTATAGGCTGCAGTTGAGCACCATAGCTGTGGTGGCTGTGTCCTGTATGATTCTGCTTATGCAAGAGGCAGGATTCTTGATTATGTTGGAATTTATGCTATATTCTTATTTACTCAAGATTGAATTACTTTAAGGCTATTTCCCGGTGTACGGAAGTTCGTGTTCTCAAATAAATTTGTAAATGGTATTGTAACCTTTAAGGTAGACTTGTTCCATGCACCAGGAAGATAGTGGTAAGGTATAGATATTATATATTTTTTTTTCTTTCCTTTTGTACTTAGCTTAATTCAGATTATCCAGCATAGCTTTCACCCCAGACTTGAATTGGATGCAGTAGACACTTTGACAAATCTTATATTTCCTTACTTATTTAGGGGCTTCTTAATCAAGCAGATACATAGCAGAGAACTAGAAAATAAGAAGTGTGATCTGAGCGTATGAGATCATATCTGTGCTCATGTCTTTAGCCTCTTACCAGAGTCTGGTATTTTGCACACTTCCAACTGTCTTGGTTGCCAGTTTCCCTTCTCATGATTGAGAATTTAAAATGATTAATTATTAAGTAGTTTTTTTTTTTTTTTTTTTTTTTTTTTTTGACAGGCAGAGTGGACAATGAGAGAGAGAGAGAGAGAGAGAAAGGTCTTCCTTTTGCCATTGGTTCGCCCTCCAATGGCTGCCACGGCTGGTGCGCTGCAGCCGGCGCACCGCGCTGATCCGATGGCAGGAGCCAGGTACTTATCCTGGTCTCCCATGGGGTGCAGGGCCCAAGTACTTGGGCCATCCTCCACTGCACTCCCTGGCCACAGCAGAGAGCTGGCCTGGAAGAGGGGCAACCGGGACAGAATCTGGCGCCCTGACCGGGACTAGAACCCAGTGTGCTGGCACCGCAACGCAGAGGATTAGCCTAGTAAGCCGCGGCGCCGGCCAAGTAGTGGTATTTTGAAAGGGAAATTTTTGGATTTGTCAAGCTCAGTCCTTCACAGCTGTTGCATTGTCTTCAGGACACATCCAAAGGCATGGAGAACAGATTTGTTCAGATGTGAACATTGTAAAACAGCTTAGATGTTCAAAACATAGCATATGATTTTGTGTGAACCTTAAGTAATTATTCATTGTTAGTGAAATTTGTCAAATTTTAAGCTTTGCATTCTTACTTTCTTGTTGTTTTTCTTTCCCACATAGGCCCGTTATGCCTGTTACATTAAATATGAACATGGCTATGCCTTCTTGGTAAGTAAGAATTTCCTTTTTCAACAAGAACATTTTAGTATTACGAGAAGTGCTGTTGCATACACAGCAATTTTAAATTAGCTATTTTTGAATTGCAAAGTGCCATAATTTAAATTTAAACTTATTTACATTTTTATACTTTAGACTTGGAGATAAATTTAAGGAACTGTCCAAACAAGTAGAAAAGCTGGAGAGAATGCATGAATTGAAATATTGTGGGAAAATCTATCCTATTGCTTATGGGGCCGGCATTGTGGTACAGCAGGTTAAACTGCCGCCTGGTATGCCAGCATCCCATATGGGTTCAAGTCTTGGCTTCTCCACTTCTGATCCAGCTCCCTGCTAATGTACCTGGGAAAGCAACAGAAGATTGCCCAAGTGATCGGGCTCTGCCACTCACATAGGAGACCTGGGTAGAGTTCCAGGGTCATGGCTTAGACCTGGTCCATCCCTGGCTATTGCAGTCATTTGGAGAGTGAACCAGTAGATGGAAGATATCTCTCTCTCTGTCTCTGTCTTTGTCTCTAGGATCCTCTCTCTTGTAACTCTGCCTTTCAAATAGTAAATAAATAATCTTTAAAGAAAAAAAATCTGTTGCTTGATAAACCTTTCTTCATTTTAGTAAGCATTTGAATGCTCCCATGTGGTACACACTTTGGTTAAGCCACAGCCTCTTCATTCTAACAACTTCTTGCTTGGCTTCCTAGAGAGCTGACTAGCATTTAAGGAAACTGCTTCCCTTTCAGCCTTCTCAAGATATTCTTGCATTAACAGCCAAGAAGTAGGGTCAACTTCCCATTCCTCTTCCACGTTCAGCCTGTGATTACTCCCTGATGTGCCATGAGACTTCTATCAGGTCTTTCAAAAAATGATGACTTTCGAGCCAGCATTGTAAGTGGTTTAAGCCATCACTTGGAATACTGACATTCCATGTTGGATTGCCAGTTCAAGTCCTGGCTGCTTCACTTCTGATTTAGCTCCCTGCTAGTACACCTGGGAGTCTAGTTCTTGGGCCCCTGCTACCCACATGGGAGATATGCATGGAGATCTAGGCTACTGACTTGTACCTATCCCTGGTTGTTGTGGCCATTTGTGGAGTGAACCAGTGGATGGAAGATCTCTCTCCTTCTCTCTGTCACTCTACCTTTTTAATAAATAAATAAATCTTTGAAAAAAAATGATGACTTTCATACCTCATTGATAGTTACCTTTCGACTATAGCTCCTGCTACTATTTTATTCTTTGTGTGGTTACAGGTTTCAATATAAGTTGTCCATCCATAACCTTGACCAACTTGCTACTTCTTTGGCCTCCTTTTTCCCTCAGGGACATTTTTCTTCTCTCAACATGAATCATCTACCGTCCTTCTTGAGGTCATGTCATCTGGAACTTTCCCATTTTTAAGGCCTCTTAATTGAAACCTGTTGAGAATACTGATTGTGTGTATCCTCTGAGCTTACTTCCCTGTATCTATACCGTGTTCTGAGACCTTGTCAGGACCTTCAGTCTGGATCTTCTTGTCCCCTCTACTTGTCCCACCTATCTCCAACCCATCCTTGCATTTCGTTTTTTTATCTACTTTAGATTTCTTGGCAACTTTTACAAGGTTCTATTTACCTAAGCTGTGGTTCTTTCTTCTTCCATATCTGGCAAAATTCCCATTCTAGGATGAAAATGACAATCTAATGTTGCTGGAGTGCACATGTAAGCATATAACCTGAAAGAGACATAGAAAGAGCCAAAGGGAGGCTTCCCTGGTCTCTGGTTGAAGTGTCCATAATGCATGATGAACAAGTTCTGCAGATTATGGATAGGAATCAGTATAAATATCTATTTGTTCAGTAGAAATGAGGCAAGAAGATACATCAGAAAGTTTTTGGAAAAAAGAATAAAAAGCTAAGTTTATTTTGGTATAAAAAGCTTTGAAATTCATGCTTATGAGGGGCCTTCAAAAAGTTCATGGAACGCTTTGTATTTGAAAAAACAATACATGGATTTCAGTTTTCTGCAACAAAATAAGCATCTTTTATTTAAAATTTTTTTTGCTTTTGTTTATTTGAAAGGCAAAGACCATTCTTCTATCCTCTGGTTCACTTCCCAAATGCCTGTAATACCCAGGGCTGGGTTAGGCCAAAGCCAGTACCCAGGAACTCCATTTGGTTCTTCCACATGTGATGGCAGGAACCCAAGTACTTTGGCCGTCATATGCTGCTTTCTTTGGTTCATGTTAGTAGGAAGCTCATAAGAAGCAGAAACAAGAATCTGAGGCACTCTGATATGGGATGTGGTTGTCCTAAGAAGAAGCTTAACCTGCTGAACCACAATACTCACTCTTAAATTCCAGTTTTCCACACACTTTTTGAAGTACATTCTTAGTACATCCAATAGTAACATGATAAAAACATTCCATTCATTGGGCCAATATTGTGGCATAGTAGGTTAAGCTGCTGCTGTGATGCCAGCATCCCATGTGGATGCTGGTTCCAGTCCCCGCTGCTCCATTTCCAATCCAGCTCCCAGCTGATGCCCCTGGGAAAGCAGCAGAAGATGGCCCAAATACTTGGGCCCTGCCACCCACATGGGAGACCTGTAAGACGCTCCCAGCTCCTGGCTTCAGCCTGGCACAGCCCCAGCCATTGTGGCCATCTGGGGAGTGAACCAGTGGATAGAAGATCTCTCTGTGTCTCTTCCTCTCTTTCTGTAATTCTGACTTTCAAATCAATTTTTAAAAATTCCATTCAGAGCTAATGTTGTGGAGTAGTGAGTTAAGCTGCAGCCTGTGATACCAGGATTCCATATGAGTGCCAGTTTGAGTCCCAGCTGCCTTACTTCTGATCCAGCTCTCTGCTAATGTACCTTGGGAAGCAGGAGAAGATGGCTCAAGTGTTTAAGCCCCTGCACCAACATAGCAGACCAGGATACTGCTCCCTGTCTTTGGCCCAGCCAAGTCCCAGCCATTGTTGCTACTTGGGGAGAACCAGTAGATGAAACATCTCTCTTTCTCTCTCTCCCTCTCTCTCTGTAACTCTGCCTTTCAGATAAATAAATAAGTATTTCCAAAAAAAATCCCATTGGACTGACTTAAGATGCACTAGAAGAGGAGGGATTGGCAGAATTTATTGTAAACTTTTCTGGATTGCAGGTTGAGATACCTGCTTATATATGAAATTGGACTAGGTAATTTCTTAGGCTGTTCTTACCCTAAAATTAGTGTCTTGGGGACTTTTTCACATTGAATCTGTATCTATTTGGAGTAAAAGGAGCATATAGAATATCATATTTGTATGTTTAATTGTTTGGGCTCTGTAGACATTTTAAACTGAATTTCGTGTTTTAGAGAAACCCTATGGTTTGTCTGTTTTGTTGAGACTACTGTGAGTTAAGTAAAACATGCTTACCAAGAAGAGCTTTTCTTAGAATCAATTGGTTCTTTAAGATTTTGCCCTTTTTCCAGGTTTGATATTATTGGACTTTCACCAGATTCACAGGAGGATGAACCTGGAATTAAACAGGCAGCAGAAAACGGTAAGGACAGATTATTTTTATGAAAACAAACCACCCTTATTTAGTAGATTCAGTTGTTATTTGATGCTGATTATGTATTACACAGTTACCTGGCCTCAGGAGGCAGTGCTTCCTTTGTGAACTCTTGGGCACTTGTTTACCATGATGTCCATGTGGACTCACTTGACTACTGGGGTCAATGGAAGTGAAGTGACTGAGGATTAGTGGCATTTATCAAGCTTCAGCTCCATCAGATATAGTAATTTTGGTTTGATTTACATAGGCAAGTGGAGAATAGCAGAGTGTATAATATTTGGGCTAATTATCTTTAGTAAGGAAACTTAATGGCATAATTAATACAGTGCTGTAAAGATAATAAACAGTGAAGCTGCTATGAAAATTAATATTAGTGTGGTAATACTAGATACTACTGATTGATCACTTGGCTACTTTCTCAGTGTTTATTATAAATCACCCCATTTAACACCTCAATGATGTATGTAGTTCTGCTTTAAGAATCTCAAAAGCCTGTGCCATGGTTGTTATTCCATTATCCTTTATGACTATGGTTGGTTTGTTTTGTTGGTAAAAATACAAAGAATATTAACTGTGCAGGGATTTTTTTATCATTGTTGTTCTGGTTTTTTGTTTTGTTTTGTTTTGTTTTGTTTTGTTTTGTTTTTCATTTTATTTGAAAGGCAGAGACACAAACACAGAGACTGAACTTTCATCCTCCAATTCATTCCCCAAATGCTGGAAAGAGTTGGGGCTGGGAAAAGCTGAAGTCAGGAGCCTAGAACTCAATCTAGGTCTCCCATATATGTGGCAGGTACCCAAGTATTTGAGCCATCACTTGCTGCCTCTTGGGGTGCACATTACAGGAAACTGGAATCAGAAGCAAAGTCAGGACTCAAACTTTGGCACTCTGATTTGGGATGCAGGCATCCTAAGTGCTGTCTTTTTTATTTATTTATTTTATTTGAAAGTCAGAGTTACACAGAGAGGAGAGAGAGAGAGAGGTATCTTCCATCTGATGGTTCACTCCCCAGTTGTCCGCAATGGCCCGTGCTATGCCAGTCCGAAGCCAGGAGCTTCTTCCGGGTCTCCCATGCAGATGCAGGGGCCCAAGGACTTGGACCATCTTCTACTGCTTTCCCAGGACATGGCAGAGAGCTGGATTGGAAGAGGAGCAGTCTGGACCTTAACCAGCACTTATCTCACTATCCACTCTGCCTGTCAAAAAAATAAATAAATAAAAAACATGCATAGAAGTATCCTTTTCTTTTACTTGGACATGTATGTTCTGAAATACAAATAGGGCAGGTGCCGCGGCTCACTAGGCTAATCCTCCACCTAGCGGCACCGGCACACTGGGTTCTAGTCCCAGTTGGGGCGCCGGATTCTGTCCCGGTTGCCCCTCTTCCAGGCCAGCTCTCTGCTGTGGCCAGGGAGTGCAGTGGAGGATGGCCCAAGTGCTTGGGCCCTGCTCCCCATGGGAGACCAGGAAAAGCACCTGGCTCCTGCTTTCGGATCGGCACGGTATGCCGGCTGCGGTGGCCATTGGAGGGTGAACCAACGGCAAAAGGAAGACCTTTCTGTCTCTCTCTCACTGTCTACTCTGCCTGTCAAAAAAAAAAAAAAAAATACAAATAGTACAATAGGATGACTTAGGTTGATGTAAGAAAAACCCAGGTGGTATGATAGCCTGACTGAGTATTGACAGATGCAAAATTGAGGTAATAGCCACATGGGGACTTATTACACTGCCCTTTCCACTTTCAAATGTGTTTGAAATTTTCCAAAATAGATTAGAAACCAAAAACTTATAGTAAGTTCTTTTAAATTTTTTTAAATAACTATTAAGATCTTAGAAATGGGGAAAATATGGCCGGCGCCGCAGCTCACTAGGCTAATCCTCCGCCTTGCGGTGCCAGCATACCGGGTTCTAGTCCCGGTTGGGGCGCCGGATTCTGTCCCGGTTGCCCCTCTTCCAGGCCAGCTCTCTGCTGTGGCCAGGGAGTGCAGTGGAGGATGGCCCAAGTGCTTGGGCCTTGCACCCCATGGGAGACCAGGAGAAGTACGTGGCTCCTGCCATCGGATCAGTGTGGTGCGCCAGCCACAGCGCGGCGGCCATTGGAGGGTGAACTAACGGCAAAGGAAGACCTTTCTCTCTGTCTCTCTCTCTCACTGTCCACTCTGCCTGTCAAAAAAAACAAGAAAAAAGAAATGGGGAAAATACATTGAAAACACATTGAATATTTGGAAATGTCAAACTACACATGCTGACTTTTTGGATCACCAAAAACAATAGAAAACAAATAGAAGCTAGAATCCTAAAGCTAGGCTTTTGTCTAAAGATAATATAGGTACTATCATTGGGTATAGAAATGTGTGTTAGACACTGTGGACATTAGGGAGGAGCTGAGCCCTGTGGAGAAGACAAGCAGGCCTTGTGAGTTATAGAATGAAATGTCCTATCTTAATAATAAACATGGTTTATGAATACTCGCCATTCCTTTTCTCCAAAATGATGAATTATTGGAGAGATTTAGGCTTACACTCAGACTCAGAGCTCAGAAAGAGTAGATCAAGGGAGAGGTTGCCATTGTGGCATATTGGGTTAAGTTGCTGCCCGAGACACTGGCATCCCATAATGGACACTGGTTCCTGTCCCACCTGCTGCACTTCAATCCAGCTCCCTGCTAATCTGCCTGTGAAAGTTGCAGAGGGTGGCCCAAGTCCCTGGTCCTATGCACCCACATGGAAGACTCACATGGAGTTCCAGATCCCTGGTTTTGGCTGGCCCAGCCCTGGCCATTGCAGCCACCTGGGGAGGGAATCAACAGATGGAAGATATCTCTATCTCTCATTTTTTGTGTGTCTTCGCCTTTTGAATAAATTAAATATTAAGAAAGAAGACCAAGAGAAGAGAATATGCTGTTGAACAAAAAAGAGGGTGCTCAGGTTAGGTTTTTGAGTACTTAGTGCCCCTGCCCTTAGGTAAAAGGTGTTTGAAATTAGAACTCAGTACTCCATAGTTGGCTCCTGTTATTGTAGCTTTTGAAGTATCTTTAGCTCAGCGAGGTGGTGTAATCAGAGGGAGTAATGCTTTGGGGGGAAATAGTCCCAATAGTTTGCTGGCTAGCTGGCAGCTAACACTCCCCCAAAACCCCAGCAGCCACCCGCCTGATAGCTGGTCTGATTCTACATCTTATTCCCAACTGGAAATTTGTAGGCTTTGCAAATAAATCCTTTATACTTTCCTTTAATAATGCTTTTATTTCTTAAGCCTTCTTTCTTTGTCTCTTAATTTACTGTCCCATTACCTAGTTGAAGTGCTCCTTAATTCTTAATAATTCTAAGGACTAAACTTTGTATAGAACAAAAACTACTTTTTAATTTGGGCACCTTTTTTGGTAGTGTTACAGTAAAAGCATTTTTGTGTTTTTAATAAAAAAAGTTGTAAATTTTAATTCAAAAGCAATTTCTGTATATATGTAAAAAATAAATCAGACAAATTTGAAAAAGGAATGGTTATTCCAAAAACACAGGATGATAATGATAACGACAATCCTAGGACTCATCAGCTGTTCTACTTGTATGATATATGTAAAAGTATCTTTTAGAAAAAGAAGTATTAATTTGATGTTTCTCTCCCATCATTTATTGGCTATAGAAAAAGAAGTCAGTGCGGTGATATTTTTAATAGAACGGTTTTAAATAGTATATCACAAATTGTGTCATCTACCTAACTACATACAATAAAAACTACAACTTCTAGGAACAAATGCCTAAGTTCATTGAGAAGAAAGAAACAAAATGTCTAGGAACAGACTTATTCATGAAGAATACCCATTTCTTAATGAAAGAACTGTTACAATGTACATAACAAGAAACTTTTGAAGATTTAGTTTATGCTGCACCTATAGAATCTGAAACACTTCATAATGAAAGTGTTTTCTTGTTTTGTATTTTAATGGAGTGCTTTGAATTTTTCACTCATTTCTACCTTGAATATACTTTGTAATTTTCTATTATTGTTTTCCTATTTTAAATTGTATCAATGGACTTAACTTTGAAAGTATCAGTGATTCTGTGGCAAAAAATACCCTACATGAAGGATCTCCGAGTAAGAAGAAGGGGCCGTCGAAGAAGGATGTACTTTTCTCTGAAAGGAGGAGAGAACTTCCACTTTGCTATGGCCTTGTCTAAATACTGATGGAGTCTGTGGTCACAAAAGGCTTCCATAGTCTTGGCAGCTCATGACAAGAACCTCGGGTGATCACTGACATCATAAATAGGAGTGTTAATTGTTAAATTAACAACAGAAGTCACTGTGCACTTACTCCCCATTTAGGACCTCTGTCCTTAACGAGTTGTACTATGAGATTTAACTGTAAAACTTGTTCTCAAACAGCATTTTTTACGTTGTGTGTGTGTGTGTGTGCAAACTGTTGAAATCTTTACTTAGTATAGAGTTGGTCTTCTGTATATAAAGTTAATTAAAAATGAATTTTAATGAAGAATGGGATGGGAGAGGGAATAGGGGATAGGAGGGGTGGGTGTAAGGGGAAGAACCACTATATTCCTAAAGTTGTACCTATGAAATTTGCATTCATTAAATAAAAGCTTTAAAAAAAATAGAAAGTATTAGTGATTAACTTTCTGGTTGTTTTTAGTAAAGGCTTTGATAGATCAAGAGGTGAAGAATGGCATTCCTTCTAACAGAATTATTTTGGGAGGATTTTCTCAGGTAAGAACATGTGTATGGTATGTCAGCACCATCAGCATATTTACCTAGAAATTTTGTTTCAATCCCTTTTCTATGGATGAGTCCTTTTTGAAAATGTCATTCTTGACTGATATACTTAACCTTTACTGCTGAATTTAGTTTGACCTGAAGCTAATTAATTTCTGTTGTGTACACACTTCTGCTCTTCTAGTTGTGAGACTTTTTTAGCAGTAGTCTTCACTTTTCCCTTCAAAATCAATTAAGTAGGGGCCAGTATAGCAGGTTAAGCTATTGCTTGCAATGCCAGCATCCCTTATGGTCACTGGTTCAAGCCCTGGCTGCTCTGCTTCCGATCCAGCTCTCTACTATTGCACGCAGAAAAGCAGCAGAAAATGGCTCAAGTACTTGGGCCCCTGTTATCCATGTGGGAGACCCAGATGAAATTCCTGGCTTCAGCCTTGGCCCAGCCATGGCCATGTGGCCATTTGGGAAGTTAAACAGTGGATGGAAGGACTGTCTGTCTGTCTCTCTCCCCTTCTCTCTGTAACTCTGCCTTTTAAATCAATAAATAAATCTTTTTTAAAAAAATCAGGAAAAAGATGAAGGGTAACCTGGAATGTATTTTCTTAAAATAACCAAAACAAGGGGCTGGTGCAGTGGCATAGTAAGCCAAACCTCTGCCCAGAGTACTGGTGTTCCATATGGGTGCTGGCTCTAGTCCCAGCTGCTCCTCTTCTGATCCAGCTCTCTGCTGTGGCCTGGGAAAGCAGTAAAGGATGGCCCAAGTGCTTAGGCCCCTACACCCATGTGGGAGACCTGGAAAAAGCTCCTGGCTCCTAGCTTCAGATCAGCCCAGCTCCACCATTGTGGCCATTTGGGGAGTGAACCAGTGGATAGAAAACCTTCTTTCTTTCTGTCTCTCCCTCTGTAACTCTACCCCTCAAATAAATAAATAAATAAAATCCTTAAAAAATAAAAATAAACCAAAACAATGTGGTTGTTTCTAAATTAGTTGGCCGGCACCGTGGCTCAATAGGCTAATCCTCCACCTAGTGGCGCTGGCACACCGGGTTCTAGTCCCGGTCGGGGCACCAAATTCTTTCCCGGTTGCCCCTCTTCCAGGCCAGCTCTCTGCTGTGGCCCGGGAAGGCAGTGGAGGATGGCCCAAGTGCTTGGGCCCTGCACCCCATGGGAGACCAGGAGAGGCACCTGGTTCCTTCCTTCGGATCAGCACGGTGCGCCGGCTGCAGCGTGCCAGCTCTGGCGGCCATCAGAGGGTGAACCAACGGCAAAAAGGAAGACCTTTCTCTCTCTCTCTCTCTCACTATCCACTCTGCCTATCTAAAAAAAAAAAAAAAAAAAAAAAAAAAAAAAAAAAAAAAAGTTTCTAAATTAGCACCACAGTGTACTCTTTTCATTAAATAGTGCTGTAATAACACAGGTGTAAGTCCCCTGTTCTAAGATCATTACTAAGAACAGTAAGCTAGGAGACTAAAGAAAATTTATTCTCTTATTTGTCATTTAAGATAGGTTTTAGACATAAATATGTGATGTTTACTTTCAGCATCTTTTTTCCATTCTGTTCTTTTCTCCTCCCTTCTATACTTTCTTTGCAGACACTGTTTCCTCACATTGACTGCACATCTTTATTCTACTTCTCACCTGTCTCCATGGAACCCATCCCCAGAATGTTATAGCTTCTAATCTGTAAATCTTCTGAATCATCAACTTGGTGTTCATATAATTTAATTAGGGAAATTTCAGAATTCTGGAATCATTTAAAAAATAGACTTCAATAGAAAGATATTAATATACAGTAAGAAGGTATTATTAATTTGGTGTTTGCTGAAATTCAGATAATGTGCATTGTCATGTGCATTTTGATGTAAATGTAGGGATATGAATGTTTGATTCCAAATGGGAAGTATACATAAGAGTCTGTATTTGAGAGTCATTAATTACATAGTATAGGAACCAACTCTTAGTATATTAAGCCAGAAGGGGTGAGCTAGGAGTCTGTGGCATACATATCAGGGATAAGGATGAAAAAGAAGCACTGTCTCAGGAAGTTGCCAGAACTTGGAAATCCATCAGGACTTCCTCTCCATCCTTCTTCCTCTCTGTTCATTTGCCTCTCCATCAGGTGTTGGCATCTCAGCTTCTGTAGCCTATAGCTTTTTTAGCCCTTAAGCTGACATGTTACAGTTCAGTCATTCAAAGAGACAACCTGCCAGTCACTGAATCCCAGTCGCACAGTTCTGGGAGATAGAACATCCTATCTGGGATAAGAAACAATCTCATATCCCCATGTGGCACAGTGATCCACTGATACAGTCAAGAATTGCATCCAGATGGCTGACAGGGATGCATTTCCTAGGATACAAGGTGATATGAGTTGGGTGGGCAGATATTCTACACAGTCCTAATAGTCCTAATTACCCTGAATCCTTATTTTAAAACATAATACCAATTTGGGACTTGATTTTATACCTAAGACTTTTCAGAGGAGAAAATTATTATAAAATCTTTCCCTTTTTTAAAATTTATTTATTTATTTATTTGAAAGGCAGAGTTACAGAGAGAGAAGGAGAGAAAGATATTCCATCTGCTGGTTCATTCCCCAAATGGCCACAGTGGCCAGGACTGGGCCAGGCTGAAGCCAGGAACTTCATCTGGGTCTCCTGTGTAGGAGGCAGGGGCCCAACCACTTTGGGCCATTTTCTGCTGTTTTTCAGGTGCATTAGCAGGGAGTTGGATCAGAAGTAAGAGCAGCTTAGGACTAGAATGTGTGCCCATGTGGGATGCTGGCATCACAGGTGGTACCTTAACCCACTATATCACAATGCTAGCCCCTAGAATATTCTTATGGCACATTGTAAGTTTACTATGCTATTCACTATGTCTTGCCTGATCCAATAGTAAGTTCTCTTTGTGTAGAGAAATGTATTCCCTAGGACACAATGAGGTCTGTATGTATTTCCACCATTTGTGTGATATGATTTTTTATGGGCAATGTTAATGCAAATCTTTGAAGTTGCTGCTTGTATGCTTGTGTTCATTAACTTTTCCTGCTTGTTTTTCCAGGGAGGAGCTTTATCTTTATATACTGCTCTTACCACACAGCAGAAACTGGCAGGGGTCACTGCACTCAGTTGCTGGCTTCCACTTCGGGCTTCATTTCCACAGGTACAGTAGTTAATGCAACATGAGATTACTGGGCTAAGTAAGAGTTTGCAGATAATGTTGGAGAAAGGGTCATCCTTCATTTTTTTTTTTAATTAATAAACTTTACTTTTAAACAAAATTTACCTAAGAAGCAGAGTGGGAGGCAGGGAAAAAGGGAGAAGAAAAAGAGAACTCCCACCTGCTGGTTCACTCCCCAAATGTTAGTGATAGTCAGGGCTGGGCCAAGGCAGGAGTCAGGAACTCCATCCAGGCCTCCCTTTGAGTGGCAGAAATCTAGTAGTTGAATTTTATCACCACTACCTCCCAGGGTCTACATTAACAGGAAGCTGGAGTCAGGAGCCAGAGACAGGTATCTGACCCAGGCACTGTGATGTGGGGCATGATTATCTTTACACTATGCCAAATACCCACCCTAGACTATACTTTTTAGAGCAGTTTTAAGTTCACAGCAAAATTGAGGGGAAGTAGAGAATTTCCATATACCCCTGTCACCACACACACACACACACACAGCCTCTCTCATACTACAGTAGTACATTTGTTACAGTTGATGAACCTATATTGGAACATCATTACCACCCAATGTCCATAATACATCAGTCATTCTTTTTATTAAAGAATCTTCTTAGACTTTGGTGATGTGTTACTAAAATTTCTCTGTGTACTATTCTGTCTTTACTGTGGAATATATAGACTACAGTAAGAAACTATTGTCATAAATCTTATATTTGAAGAGTTTGATATATCTTAGGATATATATGGAAATTAGGGCTTGTTTAATACACAGAAATATTTTTGAATGTTCAATCTGTTTAGTGTTGGATAGCAGAATTTTGCCATAGAATATAATTTCTATAAATATTCAATATTGAAGCAGTATATTACATGTGGGAGACATGGGCATTATTTTCAAACTGATTTTTACATCGGGCTTGGTATCATCACTATTTCCTTGGCCAAATATTATGTAAATGCAGATTGAATATCCTTAAATTTAAAATGCTTGGAAACCAGAAATATTTCAGATTTCAGAGTTTATTGGACTTTGGAGTATCTGCACAGACTTTTCAGATGAGCATCCCTCATCTGAAAACCTGAAATCTAAAGTATGACTTTGAGATTTGGGAGCATTTTGGATTTCCAGATTAGGGATACTCAGCCTATGATAACATATTGTGTGTTCCTACACACAATATTTAGAACTATTTACAGTTTCATTTGTCTGGGATAAGTGCTATACATTTGAATAAATAATGTTATTTTGTTTTGTTTTTCGCAGGGTCCTATCAGTGGTGCTAATAGAGATATTTCTATTCTCCAGTGCCATGGAGATTGTGACCCTTTAGTTCCACTAATGTTTGGTTCTCTTACTGTGGAAAAACTAAAAACATTGGTAAATCCAGCCAATGTAACCTTTAAGACCTATGAAGGCATGATGCACAGTTCATGTCAGCAGGTGAGTATCTAGAAGCAGTGATCAGAGCCATAGATGCAGCTTCTTCCGTATATTTTTTTTCCTTTTCTTTTTAAACACTTATTTAATTATTTGAAAGGGAAAGTTTCAGGGCCAGCGCCGCGGCTCACTAGGCTAATCCTCCGCCTAGCAGCGCCGGAACACCGGGTTCTAGTCCCGGTTGGGGCGCCGGATTCTGTCCCGGTTGCCCCTCTTCCAGGCCAGCTCTCTGCTGTGGCCAGGGAGTGCAGTGGAGGATGGCCCAGGTGCTTGGGCCCTGCACCCCACGGGAGACCAGGAAAAGCACCTGGCTCCTGGCTCCTGCCATCGGATCAGCGCGGTGCACCGGCCGCAGCGCGCCGGCCGTGGCGGCCATTGGAGGGTGAACCAACGGCAAAGGAAGACCTTTCTCTCTGTCTCTCTCTCTCACTGTCCACTCTGCCTGTTAAAAAATAAATAATAAATAAATAAATAAGTAAAAAAAGAAAGAAAGGGAAAGTTTCAGAGAGAGAAAGAAAGAGATCTTCCATCCACTTGTTTTCTCCTCAGATGGCTGCAATGGCCAGAGCTGGGCCAGGCTAAAGCCAAGAGGCAGGAACTCCTCTGGGTCTCTCACATGGGTGCAGGAGCCTAAGCACTTGAGCCATCTTGTGCTGCTTTCCCAGGTGCATTAATAGGAAGCTGGATCAGAAATGGAGCAGCTGGGACCTGAACTGGCACACATATGGGATGCTAGCATCATAAGCGGGGCTTAACCCACTGTGTCATACAACTCCAGCCCCTGCATGCACTATTTTTAAAATTAATAACATTTGCCTACTTGGGAACTTAGAGGAGTTAATTAATATATTCATCTTAGTTCATTAGATGAAAGTTTATTCAGTTTAATTGAACATATATTTACTGGTTGTTATATATAAGTCTTAAGCATAATTCAAAGACAAACAATAAGCATTACCTTTTATTAGAATATGAAAGAGATAATTTAACAGGGGAGAAAGATGCACATACCTAAGTAATTGTGTAGAAAACAAAATGTTTAGTGAGCTATATTATAAATTTTTTTAATACCTTGAGAAACTGAGAAGAGATTATTCTCTTAGGAGGCACTGAGATCATGATGAAATAGCTAGATTTTGAAGAATGGGTGGGAAATGGATAGCAAGTGCAGGGAAGGGACTGTGGGACAGGAAAAGCAAGCTGCCCAGTTTGGCTGTGGTCTTATGAAAAGCTGGGTGTCACAGGACAGAAGAAAGGGGGCTTTTATGTTGTGCTGAGCTGGAATTTGTTCTCTAGGCAGCAGGGAAGGAAGGCATTGATGTTTTTGATCATAGTGAAATGGGATATTATCTCTGTTCTGGAAGCAGGTGAGGTAAAATCCAGTGGGATTTACAGATTAATTCTGTTGGGGTAGGAAAGAAGTATCAAAGAGGCCTCAGATTCCTACCTAAAATGATTAAGAAGATGTCATCATAAAGTAGGTGCAAGGAACAGTTTTAGAGTAATGAGGAGACAATATATAGGTTGATGAATATATTGAGAATGATGTACCCCATTATATCAAAATAGGATGTTAAGAATACCTGTGTGAAGCTTCATCCAGGAAATAGAGATTTGAAATAATTACCGATATCATTGATCATGAAAATGTGTCATGGGAGAACATCATGAGAAAAAGTGCTGAGGGATAGCACTTTTGAGAGAAATATTTATTGATTAGGATTTAGTTATTTGTTTATGTATTTGAAAGGCTGCATAATAGAGACAGAGGGACAAAGATAGAGATGTCTTCCATTTGCTGGTTCATTCCCCAAATGGCTGTAACAGCCAGTTCTGGGCCAGGCCAAAGCTAGGACACAAGAATTCTATCCAGGTCTCCCACATGGGTAGCAGGGGCTCAGGTATTTGGGCCATCTTCCAATGCCATCCCAGCTGCATTGTCAGGGAGCTGGCTCAGAAGCAGAGCATCTTGGGGCCAGTGCTGTGGTACAGTGGGTTAAAGCCCTGGCCTGAAGCAGCAGCATCCCATATGGGCACCGGTTCTAGTCCCGGCTGCTCCTCTTCAAGGAGAAGCAGCAGAGGAGCAGCCAGGACTTGAGCTAGTGCTCTGATGCGAGCATGCTTATGCTGCAAGCAGTGGCTGAAACTGCTGCACCACAATGCTGGCCCCTAAGAATACATTTCAGTGTAGGCAAAGAGAAAAGGAGGTAGGTGTTCAGAGTATGGGAAGAGTGGAAGGGAGCAGTGTCTCATGTTTCAGAGAAGGGTTAAGGAGAAATGTCCAGGAAGAAGCTATCCAATGTTAATTTACCTGTGACCTGGGATGTTTGGGGCAAGTGGAGCCAAACTTTAGAGTATTGTTGAATAGGGAGATGAGAAAGTAAAGGCACTTAAAAAAATTGCATATGTATTTGAGAGGCTGAGACAGAGTGCTCCCATCTGCTGGCTACTCCTCAAATGTCCACAATGGCTAGGCTGGAACTCATTCCAGGTCTGCCACTCAAGCTAATTACTTGAGCCATCACCTACTACCTTGAAGGGTCTGCATCAGCAGGTAGCTGAGACAGGAGCCAAGCTGTGTGTGGAACCCAGGTACTCCAATGTGGGATGTTTTAAAAAAGGTTTTGGAAAATAGAAGAGCAAGACATCTCTTTTAATGAGATGTGAGAAAGATTTGTGAGTGGGAAGAGGAAGGAAGAATGTGGGATAAACAGAAGAAAATTGCTAAGGGGAAATCTTAGCGGGCTCAATTAGTATGTAGAATTAAGTTCTGAGGTGGGTAGTGCTAGATGGCTAGATAGAAGGGGACAGATGAACATAAAGGGGTTGTCAGAGGAGTGAGTACTTGGAAACTCATATTAGGTACTTTTTATCCTTTCAGTAAAGTGGGACAGATGGTCACTTGATAAAAATGAACAAGTTGTAAACCCATGGCCTGTGGAGATGGCATTCCATATGGGTGCCAGTTCTAATCTTGGCTGCTCCACTTCCCATCCAGCTCCCTGCTAATGCAGCTAGGAAAACATCAGAGGATGGCTCAAGTCCTTGGGCCCCTACACCCACATGGGAGACCTGGAAGAAGCTTCTGGGCTCCTGGTTTCGCCCTGGCTCAGCCCTGGATATTGTGGCCATTTTGGGTGTGAACCAGCAGATGCAAATGGAAGATCTTTCTCACTCTGTCTCTACCCTGTAATTCTGCATTCCAAATAAATAAATAAATTTTTTTAAAAAAAGTAATGAGTTCTGGGTGGATTTGGGGCTTGAAAAAGCCTAGAATAAAAGTTGAATGCCAGGCAATGAGACGATCAATTTTAACAGGCTTACAACTGCTCAGCCTGATTAAATCAGTTTGCTTTAGGGCCAGAGAAAATGAATAGTGATATGACTTATATAGAAAGACAAGGAGGGGGCTGGTGTCCTAGGGTGATATGAGTCCAGAAAAGGGAGGAATGTGCTGGCATCCCAAGTATCCATAGGTGACTGAGAATCTGGAGCAGTTTTCTTCCTCAGGAATTTTGCATCACAGGTTCCCTGAACTTACCTAGTAGGCAAATCCTTGTGCAGTCACATTGACATCACTGAACTGAATGAGCAAGAGCAGGAAGTAGGAATAGGTAGGACAGGAGAAGAGGGTATCCCAGGGTACTTGGAGGACTTCAGGGTGTTGTAAAATAGAACATATTCATGTGTGGCTCTTTGTTGATTGACTATAAGGTTGAAGGCTCTTTGTATTGCTAAGTTATGAAACTGTGAAGAAAAAGCCTTGAAATACAAGAGCTGATAGCCAGAAGGGAGTTTGAGAGAGGTTAGAAAACTGTGAGCCAAGTGCAAGAAATTCCTTCTGTAAGAAATCTTTGGTATATTCATGTTCATATCTTTGCAGGGCTATCTTTGGTATATACTGTCTTTCCAGTGGCTGGTTGTATGTAATTCCTTCTGAAAGGCACAAGATAGCTTATGCTATGCATTTGACATTTCATTCTAATGATGATTGAATAGTAAAAGCCACGCATTTTCACTGATACTTAGGTGTCAGTAATTGTGCACTGACATCCTCGGTGTAGGTCTTGTCACCGCTAAATCTCCTTGCTCCTTAATGTTGTATTTTGTTCAAGTATAGGAAAATAAAGACCATTTTCATGGAACTAGATAATATGAAAGTACTTCAAAAAGTCCATGGAAAATGGAACTTAAAAATAAATTGATTTTGGTGCAAAAAATTTTTGAAATCCATGCATGCATGAGAGTATTCAGAAAGCATGCAGAGGAGCAGGTGTTGTACAGCAGGTTAAACCACCATCTGTGACTCCGGCACCTCATATGAGCACTGGTTTGTGTCTTAGCTGCCCACTTTTCCAGCTCTCTGCTATTGCACCTGGGAAAGCAGTGGAAGATGGCCCAAGTGCTTGGGCTCCTGTCACCCAGGTCCTGGCTTTGTCCTGGCCCAGCCCAGTAGGTGGAAGATTTCTCTCCCCATTTCTCTTTGTAACTGCCTTTCTAATAAAATAAATAAAATCATTTATTTAGAAAAAGCTTATGGAAAATGTATATGATGAAAAGAATATGAATGAATTTTCAGATTTTTTACATCAAAATATTTACTCTTTTTTTTAAAAAAAAAGATTTATTTATTTGAGAGTCTAGAGAGGGAGAGACAGAGATCGATCCTGCATCTGCTGGTTCACTTCCCAAGTGGCTGCAACAGCCAAGGCTGAGCCAGGCCACATCTAGGAGCTTCACCTGGGTCTCACGTGGGTGGCAGGAGCCCAAGCACCTGGGCCATTGGGTTTTCTCAGGCCATTAGCAAGGTGCCAGATTGGAAGTGGAACAGCGAACCTTGAACCGGATTCCAAATGGGATGCAGATGCCATGGTGCTGGCTCTGGAGCTATCATTTCAATGTACAACAATGTTAATAATCTTAGGAAATATCCTGAAATTTCTATTAGAGCCACATTTCTCTTTAATTAAATGTAATTACAAAAACATGGGTTTTGTGTTACCTATGCACACTACAAATGTACTTAATGGCACTGTAGTGGGAATTTAACTTCTGATTAATAATTGTTTATTAAACTACTTTATTCCAAACAGGAAATGATGGATGTCAAGCAATTCATTGATAAACTCCTACCTCCAATTGATTGATGTCATTAAGAGGCCTTGTGTAGAAGTACACCAGCATCATTGTAGTAGAGCATAAACTTTTCCCTGTGCCCAGTCTTGAAACTTCTAATGTTTGCAAGTGTTAAAATGTTTTGCAATTACACGCCAATGACACTGACTAAATAATGTCTCCTCATAGGAAATATATGATATTTCAGTTTCTATACGTGTATTTGTAAAATATGATCCACAATATACTGGTATTAATATAGGTGAAGCAGCTAGCTTCTTTTTCTTAACTGTAACTTAGCAAAATAATAAAATACTTCAGTCAGATTTTTTATTACATGATTTGAGAATTAACAGTATGCTTAAGGAAAATTTATGCAGATATGAATGAGCAGTTAAGATATAAGATTTTTGCATGCTGTGACTTAGTCTGTGGATTTATTCCGAAGTTGCTTAGTCACCATGCACTGTCTGATATTTTTATATATGCACTCATATGTAATGATTGTAATACATAGGAAGGAGAAGGTATTACATTATTCCTAATAATAGGAATAATGCTTTTAAGTGTCAGTAAAGAGTAATATTGTTCTCTTCAAATAATGGCCCTTTTTATTTTGGGGACCAGACTTTTCCCTGATGTCATTTCTGTTTAATATTCTTTTCTCCCCTCAAGAAAAAAAGTATTCTTTCTTGATTTTCCTTCATAGCAGACCAAATACTGCTTTCCTGCCATAGAATCTACTGTCAATAATGCTGTAATTTGATATTCTGAGTCACATACCTATGGTATTGAAAATCTATTTACACTTTAAAAGAAAACAACCGTTACATAAAACTTTCTGTATAACTTATTTCAAACAACTGTACATTAGTGTAAACTTAGACCTGGTCAGTGATTAGAATACAGTCTTCAATCCAGGTAACAAATCATTCTGTGTTTTTATTTTTCTGTATGTAAGTGAAAGAATAATTAGGTCATATTGTAGTATTTTCTGAAATAGTTAAGAACAATCTTAAAAACTAATTTCTGAAATTATTTCATCTCCTGGTAGCATAGTTTGTTTTCTGTATATTTGTTTCAAACCAGCTACTGTAGGAAACAAGCAGTCCATTAGAAAAAGTTGTTTTTTTCTGTCAATGAACTTATTTTAAGTTTTCATTTAGTCAAATGATTTTTAATGATTAGTTTTCTGTACTGACATAAAAACAGCAATCATTTGATTTTAAATAATCAAAATTTCAAGATTACTGAAAAAAATTATTGAAAACAAGTTTATGAGTAATAAACACTAATCAGAACCATGTACTGTGGTATATTTACTGCACAGTTTAATATGTAGCAAAAATGAATGCTTGGTATTTCTGAACTGTGTTAATTTTTCTGCTGTATTTCAACTGACCAAACAATGTTAAGAATGCATCTTTATAAATGGGTGCTAATTGGTAATGAAAATAATTTAGTAATGGACTATATAGGATGTTAATAATGAAGCCATATGTTTATGTCTGGATTTAAAAACTTTAAACAATCATTTACTGAGTAATTTTGCTTTACCTTAAAGAATATAAACTGTTGTTTCAGTTATATAAGTCAGCAAAATCTTATTTATGGCAAGAAATATTCCGTTGAAATGTTATGCTGTAATGTGGGAAAATGTAAATGTTTTCCACAGTTTCTATCAATGTGAAATAAAATTTAATTCTGACTTTTCTGTGACCAATACTATGGAATAAATGACTATACAGAAAATATCAAAGTAATCATAAAAACAAACATTCAGAGAGAAGCTTTCATGATGGTGTAGTTGGCTTGGAATGGAACCAGTCAAGAGAAATAATGTTATTACTCAGTTTTAATCTGCCAAAAACATAATTTTGTTTTTCAGTGTGTGTTTTATTGGACAATTTTTTTGTCTTTTCCTTTCACATAATATTCACTTGGATTTTAAAGTCACTCTCATAAATCAGTTATAACAAGAGTTTTTCTCCTTGTATTTCATCATTGACTTCTAGTTTTTTCCAATACATGAATCTTTTCTGTTCTGTTAATCAGCCTTTCCATTTCTGCTTTTGAATACTTAAAAGTAACCAGCTTACCTTTTATTCTCTGTTCGATTTTTGCGTGATCAGAATGGTAAGAGAATTCTTTACCAAAAAACATTGTCTCTAACTTCAACTCTGGATTTATCCTCCATAGCAGCACCTTATTTTATGGGATGCTCTTTTATTTCCTCATCCTTTTAAAAAATATTGTGGGCCAGCGCCACGGCTCATTTGGCTAATCCTCCAATTGTGGTTCCGGCACCCCGGGTTTTAGTCCCAGTTGGGGCGCCGGATTCTGTCCCGGTTGCCCCTCTTCCAGTCCAGCTTCCTGCTGTGGCCCGGTGCTTGGGCCCTGCATCCACATGGGAGACCAGGAGGAAGCACCTGGCTCCTGGCTTCGGATGGGCACAGTGTGCAGGCCGTAGCGACCATTTGGGGGGAGAACCAACAGAAAGGAAGACCTTTCTCTCTGTCTCTCTCTCTCTCTCACTGTCTAACTCTGCCTGTCAAAATATACATATATATATATTGTGTTCATCATTAGATGTGAAGGGCTTGATGCTGTTAGTATCTGTCCACCAAGATAACAAGAAGGGTGTGTGTGTGTGTGTGAGAGAGAGAGAAGTTTGCCTACTATTGCAATCAATCTTACTGCTACTTTTTAAAAGTATACAAATATGGGGCCAGCATTGTGGCATAGCAGATTAAGCCTTTGCCTGCAATGCTGGCATCCTATGTGGGCATCAGTTCAAGTCCCAGCTGCTCTACTTCTTATCCAGCTGCCTGCTAGTGTGCCTGGGAGAGCAGCAGCAGATGGCCTGAGTATTTGAGCCCCTGCACCCAAGTGGGAGACCCAGATGAAGCTCCTTGCTCCTGGCTTTGGACTGGCCCAGCCCTGGCCATGGTGTCCATTTGGGGAGTGAACCATTGAATGGAAGATCTCTGTCTCACTCTGTCTCTCCTCTGCAGCTCTACCTTTCAAATAAATTAAAAAAAAAAAAAAACAATTATAAGTACACAAATGACATATTTGCCACTCTCGTAACAAGTACCATTTTATTTTGTAGAAATTACTAAAAAGTAATATGTAATCTGTTAAATCCTTAATATATTCAAGGCAGTATCAGAAGAGCCAGGATTGGAATTGATGTGCCTGATCCATGGTCTTTATCACCTTGCTTAGTGCCTTGGAGAAGTAATTTAAGTGTTTTAAACCCTATATATTTCATATAATATAAAACACCTAGAATTGCTGGGTAAAATAGCTGACTTTCTAATCATAAGGAAATCTCCAGCACCCAGAGACAACTAAAAGGAAACTAAAAACCCACGTAATGCACTTAACTTGGGGTTCAGATGAATGAGGTAAGGTGTGGAAATAATTCACCATTATAAAGCCAGAATCCTTTTAAAGGTCACACACAGGTAAACTAGAAATGAATCTGTTGGGGCCAGTGTTCTGGTACAGCAAGTTAAGCTGCCGTCTGCAGCAGCAGCATCCCATATGAGCACCAGTTCAAGTCCCGGCTGTACTGCTTCCAATCCAGCTCCCTACTACTGTGCCTGGGAAAGCAGTGGATGATGGCCAAGTACTTGGGCCCCTGTCACCCCTGTGGAAGACTTGAATGGAGTTCCAGGCCCCTGGCTTCAGCTTGGTCCAGCCCTGGCCATTTGGGAAATAAGCTAGCAGGTGGAAGACCTCTGTCTCTCTCCCTCTCTGTAACTGCCTTTCAAATAAATCTTAAATAAATAAATAAATAAATAAAATAAAATATGGCTCCTAACCGTGGGAAGTGGAAGGAAGCTTATGTTGACCTGGGCTGTGGATTGGATCAGGGATCTTCCCTTGAGATTTTTTAACCAAGAGCTTGTCTTCTGCACTTAGATTTTTAAATTTATAATAATATGGGTTGGCAACACATAAGTTAATCACTTAACAAAGAAACTTTCTGGATCTGCCGTAGAGGGAAAAACAAATACTTTATGGAAAGTGACACTTTCAAAATGTAAAATTTGAGACTAAAAATAGTTAATCCTCTTAAAGGGAGCTTGAGGCCAGTGTTGTGGCTTAATGTCTTAAGCTGGCACCTGTAATGTCAGCATCTCATATGGGCGCCAGTTCGAGTCCTCACTGCTCTACTTCTGAATAGCTCCCTGCTAATGCCCCTGGGAAAGCATCAGAAGATGGCCCGTCACTCATATGGAGTACAGGATGAAGCTCCTGACTTAGGCCTTGCCCAGCCTTGGCTAAGTTCCAGAAACTTTTAAGAAATAGTTTTTAGATGGAGTATGAGAATGTTAAAGACAAAAGAATAAGTACAAAGGAATGCCAGTATAAAAATGCAGCCTTAAAAGTTTTTACAAGTGAAAAATATTCACTCAAAAATCTGAATAGAGAAGTGGCAAAATATTTTAAACTGAATGTTAAGTAAAATGGATCTGCTAAACTCTCAGTGAACTTCTACACAGCTGCAAGAAAGGATGCAATGTATTTAGAAAAAAATTGGGATACATTATCAGAAGAAAAATAATGTAAAAACCAAAAGGGGTGGAAGAAGTAGAACATACATTTGACTTGTCTAGAATTTGTATTTTTTAAGCGCTAAAAGGATATGGAAGAATTTAATAAACATGGTTTTCAAAACTGGCATTTAGCCTAGCACTTAAGACATCTGTATTCCACATTAGAGTACCTGGGTTCTGGCTCCTGACTCAAGTTTCCTGCCAATGCAATGAAAGGCAATGGTGATGACTCAAGGAACTGGATTCCTTCCACTCAGGATTCCCAAGGACTGTATTTCTGGCTCCCAGTCTCAGGCCATTGTGGTCATTTGGAGTAGTGAGCTGATGGATGGGAGTTCTCTGTCTACCATTCTCATAAATTTTAAAAAGTATCTACAGAGCATGAATGTGGAAGAAATGAGGTATGTGAGGGCAAGAGAGGGAAGAAGCAAGCTTGCTTTTGGTATACATTGTTCATATTTTTTATTTGGTTAGAATAGTCATACCATAATATGTACCATTCTAACCATTTTTAAGCTTACAGTTCAGAGGCATTAAGTACATTCAAATTGTTGTGCAACCATTGCCACCATCCAACTCCAGATCTTTATCATCTTCCCAAAATGAAACATCTTAACTCATTCTTCAGATTTCCAATCATGATAACATATGACCCACAAAAAGATTCAAGTGGATGAGTTAAACAGTATTAGACACAAGGGAATTGGAAGATAGCTCTTAAAAACTTCAAAGGCAGCCCAGCAAACAGAAGAAGGTGGTAAGAGAATAGAAAAATAGAATTAAGAGGGCCATTGTAAAGTTTAATGGAAATTGCAAAAAGAACGGAATAGGAAAGAAGCAATACATGATGATAAAATTGAATTTTTCAAAACTTGAGAAAAGAGGCCGGTGCTGAGGCATAGTAGGCTAAGGCTCTGCCTGTGGTGCCAGCATCCCACATGGGCTCAACTGCTCCTCTTCCAATCCAGCTGTCTGCTATTGCCTGGGGAAGCAGTAGAAGATGGTCCAAGTGCTTGAGTCCCTGCACCCATGTGGGAGACCTGGAAGAAGCTCCTGGCTCCTGGTTTCAGATTGGCTCAGCTCTGGAAGTTGTGGCTCTTTTGGGAGTGAACCAGCGGATGGAAGACCTTTCTCTCTGTCTTTCCTTCTTTCTGTAACTCTGTCTCAAATAAAAAAAATCTTAAAAAAAAAAAAAAAAAAACTTGAGGAAAGGTAAGAACCCCTAGATTTAGGAAGGAGAAAGAAATGAGATACAAGCAGGACAAATAAAGTGAAATCTATCAGGCTATGTCATGGTGAAAAGTGAAAACAGCATAGAAAATAGCAACCAGGAACAAAGGTCCTGTTTAAACTGGCCTATAGTAAACTCTACAGGAAGACACTATGAGGATAGAAGACAGTAGCACTTCAAAATTTGGGAGAAAATGACATTTGTAATTTTCTACAGAGCCAAACTTGAGACAGGCAAAAGAAAACCATGTATTACATAGAAAGTTTATGAGAAAAGGCAGACAAAGATGTTCTTTCAGAAAAAAACAGTGAATGAGAAGAAAAGAGATTCAATAAATCTCTGGGTATTTGGTGCAGTGGTTAAGTTGCTGCTTGAGACACAAATTGGAGTGCCTGTGTTTAGACATTCTGCTTCCAGTCCAGCTTCCTGCTAATGCACATCCTGGGAGGCAGCAAATGATAGATCAAGTGCTTGAGTCCCTGCCACCAAAATGGGAGACCCATGTAGAGTTCCAGGCTCCAGGAACTAGATCAGCCTTGGCAGTTGTGGGCGTCCAGGGAAAGAACCAGCAGATGGATGATCTCTTTCAGTCTGGCTGGCTGGCTTGCTCACTCTGCCTTTCAAGTAAAATGAAAATAATTTTTTTTTAAAAAATTATCAATGTAGAATTGGAATAAAGTGATAAACAGAAAACTCAGTACTGATGAGCTCATAAAATTAATAATACAAATTTAGGGGCTAAAATACTGGATAAAGTACATGTAAAAATTGCATTTTTATACCTAGCAAACCTAAATTGAAAATACAACATATTACAATCACAAAAAGGAATAGTGTGTGTCTTTAAAAAATGAACAGGATTCAGAGGCAGAAAACTACAAAATGCTGATGAGAGACTTCAAAGAATAC